TATAAATAAATATATTCCATATTTGTTCCTTTGCTTATATTTTCGGTTGTCTTTTATTTATATAGACACCGCAGTTATGCTGGTTAAATTTGGTGACCGCTGTTCTGCATGCACATGACACAGTTTGTGTTCATGTGGTGATTGTCAATATTAGTATTCTCCCAAAATGAATAGTGGTGTATTGCCACATTCTTTTTGTTATTCGAGCCAGGATGTTATCGTTGATACTAAGGGGTACTGATTTGCATTATAATTGGCGTTGTAAATTACAGGCGAAGCGTATCTATGGTACGGTCAACGGATAGATGCGATTTGAATATTGGACACCAGATACAGGATGCCTTTGCTAACGTTACGAGGTGACCCGCAGACCCTCAAGGAGGAGCGCAAAACTGAACTGCGCCTGAGAATCAAAATCCTAATTGGAAACAGAAGCATAGACCATCCCGGAAATTACCCACAAGAAATAGATGAGATAATCTATTCTCAATCTGAGTTCACAGAACTAGATTTTCTGCATGATATTTTATTATCCGGTGCGCGGACTGGCAATATTGTATTGTTGGAGCACTATTTGAACGACACATCTCTTACCATTAATAATTTCAAAGTCGACGAATCGGGTGATAACTTTTTACACTTGATATGCCGAAGTTTTTATAGCCGGGATAGGGACTTGAATGATTTCTTGTGTGATAATTTTGGCAGAACACCCTTAGATGAAATCGTCAGAGATTTATTGCTACAACGTAACGATGAAGGCCTGACACCCTTGCAAGTGTGTGCAAGGGAGGTGGACGCCCCGACAACAATGGCCAACCTATTCGGACCACTTGGAGACCGGAGCGAGAGAGAAGCGCGCTACGCAAGTATGGCTAAACTCTCACTGCCGTATTACGATTCTGACATTGGCAACGAAGTAGCCATCTTCAATCCATACGACACAAATTTATTTGGCGGTAGAGAGAGCCAGCAGGACCTGATGCAGCCGTACAGGTATGTTAGAATGTTCGATGCTGGCATGACATGTACCAATACCAGAGATTGACTTATATATATATAATATATATATATA